AAAAAATGTTAAAATTAAAACTGGCAGAAGTAGATACTAAACAGTCCAAAAGTAAATAAACAGAATTTGCCGAGGTGGGATTCGAACCAAGAATCAATGCTTTTGGAATCCGATGCTTTATCCATTCGGCCACTGGTGCGCCATGGTTACAGAACATGATTAACACGTTGGAGATGTTAGGCTGTACGCACCGCCATCTATTGACGAATAAAAATTTTTTAATTTTTAACTTTTTAACTTTTTTAAATTTTTGTTTCAGCCAGAACCATCTCCCAGACGTGGTGATTCTCAATAGATCTTCAGTTTTCCGCTAGGCTCCGTAGTTCTCTAGTTATGCGCGCGAACAGACTAATTCGGCTGAACAATTTTATATATATAGAATGGATAGCGATGCCCCATTGCCTTACTGTACTGCGATCACTATTGGATGGATAATGATGTTTAATATTCAAATATTGGTTCAATTTTACCGTACTCTGGCCATACAATATGCATTCAGACCAGTATTGGTTGGGTAGCGATGTATAAATGTCTTAATGTACTATGGTCAGTATATATGCGATGTTAGAATTGGATTGTGGCGATGTCTCAATGTCTTAATGTAGTCTGGGCAGTATTGGCCGGGTAGCAATGTCTAAATATCTTAATGTATGCAGTCAATATTGGAATGTGGCGATATCTTCATGTCTTAATGATCTGAGACGAATATTGGATGGACAGAGGTTGGGTCGCTGTCAACATATGGTGTTATCGATATAGGATACCGTGTATGGATGTGTGCATGTATAGGTATTTATAGATATTGGTGCAGAACGTGTACTTCGCTCAGATGATGTTAGCATTTTACATGACCAGAAACAGTTCAAATTATGGGACCTTGATCTAACAGGTAAATGTGATAGTGACTCACATTATCAATTTTTGTGATAAACGCCTATCTCTAAATGTCAGCATTACAATAGCATATCACGCAGTGAAGTGAAATGTAACCTCCAGCGTGAGTCTATAGTACCGGCGGTGTTTATTGGTACACGTACTCCTGCAGATACGTATGAACCATTAAGGCGATCATCCTGTCTTTACATATTGATGTTTAACATTAGGATCCACGAGTCACGACACACTCGGCGACCCCTATGAAATGCCTGGTTCGAATACCGGGTTACTGTTACAGTTCTAGGAGGCGACGTTATGTGGTCTCTACAGCTAGTCCAGAGCTGTTATATTCCAGTCCTGTACTAGTATTCTCTGATATGGCTATATATTGTATAGTATTTTGTTCTATTCCAGTACTATATATAGGATTATCTTACAGAACTCTTATCCAGTACTAGTCTTATCTTATAGAAGTCTTGTCCAGTACTAGTATATTCTGTTATATAATTCTATTTCATAAACATCATAAACATAATGGATACAAGCGCTTATGTTGATGATGATGATGATAATAATAATAATAATAATAATGAAACAAAACTATTATCCTTTGTCTAACGACTCTCTATTTATATTCCTCTACATGCCCTGTGATTATAGTCCAGGCGCTCGTTGTAAGAAATCAAATTCGTTTCATAATTCGTCGTAAAGTTAAAGTGATTACGTCACCGTAAATAGTAAAAGTAAAAAAAAATCCACTTTTTCACAAAATGTAAGTAACTCTGTTCATTTTTTATGGTTAAATTGCTGCATTATACTTCCTATTTTACTATATTGTTCTCGTGACTCATACATAGCCCAATCATAATTTGATCATATCAAATCGTCCAGGTTTTTTGGATTTTTAACTAGTTGAGAAACAATCTTATCATGTAATAATTTGACAATACATTTAGTCCCATTAGTACTTACTTTTAATGTAAAAACATGGCAACAAATTTTTTTTAAATATACACCATCGAAAATTCGTGACGTAGTCAATTTAACGTTTTCTCGTAGATCTGACCTCTATACACTGCGTAACGCGTACTATGTTTCTCTCAACGGTGTACGAGAAAAATGTCAAGGTTAAAGTTACGATTAATTTCGCTTCTGACAACGGGCCCAGTTCGCTGGCTCGGCTATAATTAATGCTAGAAATGGTCTAATCGTAATACTTTACTATATGACTTCAAGAAATTGCAACAAGTGACCGAGAGCAGTCAAGCATGTTGAAACATACCATAAACCCGTATTGCCATTGGTAATGGCATTACAATAAACTCAATATGTAGTTATTCGTGTTTGCGTTCGTGCATGTGCGCGTGCGTATGTGCACGCGTGTGCGTGCATGTTCGCGTATGTGCGCGTGTGTGCGTGCGTACGTGGGTGGGCGTGAGTGCGTGTGCATGTTTGCACGCGTACGTGCCCCGAGTGTAAATCTGATGTCTATAGCGTGCGTGAATAATATCTACACAGATGCATATACGCGCGGTGGCAGGTGGGGATTCAGGTTTATCACGGTAACACTCTTCTCTGGCGTTGTGTAGGAGGCGTTGACGCTGCAACAATCAGTCACTAGTCTAGATGTGTGCGCGTGTCCTCCGGGGCTTGCGTGAGCTAAATAAGCTAAATACTCACGAACTCAATACGTTATAGAAAATGGCACTTGCGTGCCAACATAACAGCATTTGTATTAGCTTTTATTGTAAATTTATTACAGTCATCCGTAACTGTAGAGCAAATATCAATAAGACGGCATGTCTTCATATAGCCTTGGCCCATCTCTATAGTATGCTTTGATTTCGTATCAGGGTTGTTTTGCAGAATGTTCTTGCCTGTGTGTGTGTGTGTGTGTGTGTGTGTGTTCTGTTGTGTGTGTGTGTGTTGGGTGTTGTGTGCTGTGTCGATAGTAAACATATGCAAGGGCCACGTTGCTGATGTGACCAAATCAGCAAAAATCCCGTATTTTCGACTCTAGCACTGCCGCCTCAACAAAAGCCGACGTCTAAACCAACACTGAAAACACAGCATAAAAGTCTTGCGTACGATATAGGACAGCTGAGATAACAATCGTCGGCTGGCCCAGTTTCGAATGAAACAAAGCTACGGCTATAAACCGCCCTTGCTTGCAAACTATAATATAATTAGTTCCTATATCTCCCTCACAGTGCCAGTTAACGTATAGGGAGAACAGGCTTTTGCTCGCATGTTAATAATAAGTCAAACTTCAACTGGAGTAATATCACTGTTGTGCTGTACTCGCCCTACACTCGGATATGACTGTTCACAGTATACAACAGTTGTAGGCAACGCACAATGTGATGTGTTAGAATACGTCACGCACATTGACTGGGGTAGATACGTCATTCCCATTCCCACATCGGCATGCAAATCCTCACTTACTCGTGTATCATGTGTTCAGATAATATTGAGAATATATATAAGATAAATAAATATAATATATGAAATATAATATAAAGAATTCGTTAAACAACTTTTTAATATATATATATATATGTTGTGTGTGGGGGGGGGTGAATGTGTGTGTGTGCTGTGCGTGCCGTGGCATGCGTGCGTGTTGCTTGTTGTATATATGTTGTATTGTATTATGTATGTAGTTAGTGTTATGTTTATGTTATGTTATGTTATGTTATTTATTTATGTTATGGTATTTTATGTTATGTTATAGTTATGTTATGTTTATGTTATGTATTTGTTATGTTATGTTATGTTATGTTATGTTATTGTTATGTTCATGTATGTTATGATATGTTGTGTGGTGGTTGTTTTGTTTGTGTTGTTCTGTGTTGCTGTTGTGTTGCTAGTTGTGTTGTGTGCTGTTTGGTGTTGTGTGTTGTGTTGTTGTTGTGTGTGTTGTGTTGTAGTGTGTGTTGTGTTTGTTTGTGTTGTGGTTGTGTTGTTTGTTGTGTTCGTGTTGTGTTGTGTTTGTGTCCTGTGTTGTGTTTTTGTGTTGTGTTGTGTTGTGTTGTGTTGTTGTGTTGTGTTTTTGTCGTTGTGTTGTGTTGTGTTGTGTTGGTTGTGTGTGTTTGTGTTGTGTTGCTGTTGTGTTGTTTGTGTGTGTTGGTTGTTGTGTTGTTGTTTGTAGTTGTGTTGTGTTGTGTTGTGTTCGTGCTTTGCTGTTGTGTTGTGTTTATGTTTGTTATGCTTATGTTATTTTTGTATTTGTAATTTGTTTTTGTACCTAGATTGTAATTATGTATTTTATAGTTGTTTTTTTGACGAAGAAACCTTTTATGTATTTTATGTATTCTTTCATAGATAGCCAGTACTGTGACACATTATGTATAGAGCAACTTCTCTTGCATACTTCGCGCTCATCATAAATTGCATCCCTGCCGTATGCAATGGATTATATCTTCCTGTACAACTTCAGAAACAACATCGCCGTCACATTACGGAATCATAGAGAAACATGCGCACTTTCTTCCGTCTCCATGCCCGACAAAGACTGTTCAAAGCGTTCGCGTGTGCCTTACGATTCTCGATTGATTGCCCGCGAACGTGTATAATTGTTTGCGGGCATCCGCCTTGATCCTGTGTTTGGATATTCTAAGCCAACGAGATCGCGGGCATAACTTCGGCACCGTCTATTCAAGCTATGGCGTTATTATAAGTATAAGGCGTACTACTGTTTCTGCTCCAGGTTAGGCATTCGGACAGCATTGTACAAGAATGTTTTCATCGTCCAACTTGAGTGTATGCCATCGTCTCAAGCGGGAAATGGGATCAGTGATAGAATCAGCTATTCGCATATAAAAGTATATATGATTCATCTGCACTGCAGTATAATTATTTTCCCATAACACGGTGAAATACCCATCGTTTCGGTCACGAAGTAATATATCTCTCGCGTCGTGCGTACGTATGCGCTGTCGTGTGTGTATAGAATATTTTTTTCGGCAATCGCGTGACGTTTCCGATATCCTACATAAAAACTTTAGTTGAATTTACAAGTTGTGTTTCATGACGTCGGTCATGTCTTTTATGTTGGCCAGGCAATGCGCGAGCAAAAACATTACAGCAGGACGGCAGCAAGAATATCGGGAACTTCTCACGTCTCTATGGCAGCAATTCACACTGAGGGCATATCCAGCGAGTCATGGAGACGGCTGCGCAACACCTACAAGGTAGCGGCAGTTCGATATTTCAGAACCGCCATTACAATCTTTTGCTAATTTCTCGCGTTCTAATGTTACAAATGTCATCGGCGAATCCACGCCGTAGCTGCCAACTGCAGACGAATTTCGTGCTGGCCGCAACTGATTCGAATGCGACACTCGAAGGTTAGTGTCCATAGCATGCACGGGAAGACCAACTGCTATCCTTATTTGTGTGCTAATAAGAGTGTCTATAAAAAACTTATTGTTTATGTTGACATGTACGACAACCAACAAACAATTATTTCAACAAATGTTGTGACCATGTTTTTTAAATATCACCACTGCATAATGACGCATTGATGATATATGAAAAAGTTTTTAGCTAAAATTGACTAGCTCCACTGTTTACAAGCCAGATAAGCCTTATTAATTACATTGCCGGCAATCTTGTACGCGCGCACTGCTTAGCCTAACTTTTGTAGCTTCATTTGAAAAGCAGTACTCCCTGTCAATTATGTATAACGACTTAATCCTTCCCCGATAATAAAAAATAATGTAATGACGCGTAATTGGTAATAATTATAAATAATATAATACATAATATTAATAATAATAATGATTGAGAATGGCTCAGATGCTGTGTTCTTTTCGGAACGAGAGCTTTCGCACAGTTGGTGATTACGTATGGCAAGGCATATTCTCTGCGAGGGGACTCGATCGTGATTACCAAGGCGAAGCGTCACACGCATATCGTGCCTCAACGTATGGGGGATATTCCCCCGTAGCAACATTCGTGATTGTTACCGATTCTGTAAGACTACCCATCCGATAGGTCAACTGCAGTCGCTAGAACGCAGCACCGTCCACAGTAACGGAGGTCTACATGTCGTTTTGCTCGTCTGCTTTATCATAACTAGACAGACACTAGAGTAGACTCCGCACGATTTGAGCAACATATAACATCATTATTTAGTTTCAGCGGCGCACGAACCATTTGCTGACATTCATTACGCTGCTGAAAATGCAATAACAATTGCCCTATATATATAATACACTCACATGCTCGGTGGCCACTGTTAAGTTGTATACGGTAACCCTATAACTAAATGACAACAACGACGCTTTGCAGCTACACCTTTTTGCGTGAGCAGATATTCTGGCATGTGTGTGTGTGGTGTGTGTGTGTGTATATGCGTATGTGCGTGGGTGTATGCGTGCGTTCGGGCGTGCGTGTACGTGTGTGCGTGGGTCGCTGCGTTCCGTGCCGTGCATCTACGTGTGTGATGTGTGTGTGTGTGTGTGTGTGTGTGTGCGTGCGTGCGTGCGTTGCGTTGCGCGCGCGTGTGTCGTGTCGTGTGTCTGTGTGTGTGCGTAGCGCTGCGTGCGTGCGTGCGTGTGTGGTGTGCGTGCGTGCCCCTGCGTTTTTTCCGTGGCTCGTGCGTGCGTGCGTGCCGCTGCTGTGCCGTCGTGCGTGCGCTGCTGTGCCGCTGCGTGCGCGCGCCGCGCGCGTGCGTGTGGTGTGTGTGTGTACGTATGCAAGGTTAGACAAGTTTACTCGAAATAACAAGTAAACAGTGTAATTGCATCGTCCATTTCATCGTCCCACACTCGGTCGTTATGCATGAGCGCACGCCACTTGTAGATCCGTGGGTGGGGGTGGGTGGGGGATCACCGGGGCCATCCAAAAATCATCCACAGAAAGGGAATAAGATTAAAACGCGAATTATCTCGATCATTTATGAGCAATATAAAGCGCAATTTTACATATAGTTTCCCACATCCACTGCTCACTGGAGTCTCACAGAAAATTACCGTATGAAGCACTAACATGTGCGGCTGGACCCTATAGCAAAGCTTCGCCCAACCCCACTTCGCTGCCTTGTTGTCTCATTCCTGGATTCACCAGTGGCGCAATCACGACACTAGATATAGAATGAAACAACGTTAGACCCTGCCGCACACAGCTCGCGGGCATGACTAGTGCGAGCGGCGGCGGATGACCCGATTTCTGACCTTCATCTAAGAGAACGCCTAACAATACGCCGATTCTGCAGTAGGTTTTTCCATAAGCTGTTGAATGCATCTTTGTCACATCTCTTTTGACCTAGTCGTCTACCCTGCTCTTACGCGCTCCGCGGCGCACACCTGTCCGCAAGTACCGGTGATGGTGCCGGTAGGGTAGGTGGTAAGAGACGGACAAATTCTCACGGTGCCTTACGATTAGAGGGTCGCCATATTGCGGCCTACATCGTCGACATGTCGCAAAGAAAACGCTGTTTTGATAACATGCTTCAGCTAGCACTAGATCACAGTAATCAGCTCAATCTACTACGCATGCGTACATGCAGGCCTCCACAAGGCCGTAAGCCTTGTACCTCATAATCCCGATACACCCTTACCTCAAACACCTAACATCCCGCATATTTTGCTATATATATAGTCACAAGCATAGCTGTCGGCATATATACGTATACGCGATGCCGGTGTGGCCAGGTAAACAAGGTGGCCGTGTTTGCGGGTTACGTCCGCACATGAGCGTAAAGTTTATAGCCCGCCAATGTACGCGTCAGCGACTCGATGCAGAAGCGATGCAAATACGTTTATGTCCTTACGAATCCCCAATACCTGACGGGTGATGCGTGGGGAATACACACGTTTATTTTAGACCCTCGAAAGCTGCAACGTTAATCGTGGTAGATACGTTGTAGACAGTGTATCGACGTTGTTGCGCAGCTACATCGTTATCCAACGTCTCTCGTCTAGGATCCATCTATCTGAAACATAGACCTATCTAAGATAAGCTATAGATCCTGATTCTATCTGGAGTGAATAATAGTAGATCTATTATTATTCACTCCTGATTCTATTATAGATACTCTATCTGATCTATAGATTCCGACCAACATGAACGACACATGTTACGCGGTTGGTCCCATTACAGGCTAACTGTGCTAACTGCTAACTGTGCTCCGATTTAGACACTTGAGTTTTACACGCGTTCATGTGAAAATACGTGCGACTAGTCGATGCCGTGCCTATCCGCCGTGAATCTCTGCGTTGTTCGTGAGCATGTTGTTGGCACGTCGTTCGCTCTCGTGCGAATCAGTTGCGACATGCAACATGCGACATGCTACGTGCGACATGCTACGTGCGACATGCGACATGCTACGTGCGACATGCGACATGCGACATGCTACGTGCGACATGCTACGTATTTTTTTTCGCGTCCGGTTTCCGATATCCTCATAAAACTTTAGTTGAATTTCACAAGTGTGTGTTTCTGACGTCGGTCATTCTTTATGTTGCAGCAATTGCCGACAAAAACATACAGCGGCGGCACAAGATATGGGAACTTCTCACGTCTCTATGCAGCCATTCACCTGAGGGATATCAGCGAGTCATTGAGACGCTGCAGCACTACAAGGTAGGCAGTTGCGATATTTCAGACGCCATTACAATTTTGCTAATTTCTCGCGGTTTCTAATGTTACAATGTCATCGCGAATCCACGCCTGCCCGCCAACTGCAGACGGAATTTCGCTGCCGGGCAACTGATTCGAAATCGACACCTCGAAGTAGTGTCCATGCATGCACAGGAAGACCAACTGTATCCTTATTTGTGTGATCAAGAGTGTATAAAAACTATTGTTTTTATTTGATCATCGTACGACAACCCAACAACAATTATTTCAACAAATTGTTGTGACCATTTTTTTAATTCACCACTGATATGACGATTGATGAATATGAAAGTTTTACTGAAATTGACTAGTCACTGTTTACAAGCCAGATAACCTTATTAATTATCATTGCGCATTTGTACGCGCACTGCTTAGCAACTTTTGTAGCTTCATTTGAAACAGTACTCCCTGTCAATTATGTATAACCGACTTAATCCTTCCCGATAATAAAAATAATAATGACGGTAATGGTAATAATTATAATAATATAATAATAATATTAATAATAATAATATTTGAGAATGGCTCAGAATGCTGTTTCTTTTCGGAAACGGGAGTTTCGACAGTTGGTGATTACGTATGGCAAGGATATCCCTGCGAGGACTCGTGATTACAGGGAAGCGGTCACACGCATATGTGCTCACGTATGGGCGGATATTCCCCCGTACAACATTCGTGATTGTTACGATCTGTAAGACGTACCCATCCGATAGGTTCAACTGAGTCGGCTAGACGCAGCACCGTCACAGTAACGAGGTCTACATGTCGTTTGCTCGTCTGCTTTATCAATAACTAGACAGAAACTAGAGTAGACTCGACATTTGAGAACTATAACATATTATTAGTTTCGCGCACGAACCATGCTGACATTCAATTACCTGTGAACATCAATAACAATTGCCCTATAATACACTCACATGTCGGTGGCACGTTAAGTTGTATACGGTAGCCTATAACTAATACACAACGACGCTTTCAGTACCCTTTTTGCCGTGACCAGATTATCTGGATGTGTGTGTGTGTGTGTGTGTGTGTCTATATTCGTCCAATGTCCATTGGCGTCTATCTCTCTCTCTCTCTCGGGCTCTCTCTCTCTCTCTACTCTCTCTCTCTCTCCCTCTCCTTCTCTCTCTCTCTTCTCTATATATATATATATATATATATATATATATAGTATACTATGTGTGTGTGCTGTGTGTATGTGTGTGTGTGTGTGTGTGTGTGTGTGTGTGTGTGTGTGTGTGTGCGTGTGTGCGTGTGCGCGTGTGCGTGTGCTTGTGCGTGTGCGTGTGCATGTGTGTTGTGTGTGTGGTGTGTGTGTGTGTGTGTTGTGTGTGTGTGTGTGTGGTTATGTGTGTGTGTGTGTGTGCTGTGTGTGTGTGTTTTGTGGTATATATATATGCTTCCGTATGAAGATGGTCACATGTCTCATATTAACGATAGAGCGAATATCACGTTAATGCGTCTTGTGTTCGCGCCGCTTAAAACAACCCCCTAGTATTACGCAAGCTTATAGCTAATACCGACGTACAAAAGTGATGCTCATGTGTCACATTTCAAGTGTGACGAGCAGCGGCGCAAGGGCGTCGTCCGCGAGGGTAATCACCATGCTGGCGGGTTCGTTGGGCCGCGGTGCTCTAGCTGCAGGATGACTTTGGCTGATGTTCGTCGGTGGTGAACACAACAGCTCTCAGGTTGATTACCGGCTCCGTTGTTGGACACCGACGAGGTTCTTTTCTCTCTCGCGGAGCGCCCTCGCGTAAATCACTCATCAATTGTTCGAGTTCTTCCGCCGGCCGCGTCTTTGTCTTTTTGCTGTCGCGGCCCCCAGCAGATCTGCTCGCGTAACCGCACCGGCCAACGGCCAGTTCGGAATTGAAGGCGAGAAGGCGGTCTGTATATATAGGCCAGTAGTTTCTCACAAACTCGCATATGATCGTGCAGGCGACCTGCATTGACGGAGAGAGGGAGGGAGAGAGATATTTGTGAAGAGAGAGAGGACAGACAGATAGACAGCCAGTCAGTCAGACAGACAGACAGGAGCAGACATGGCAGATAGACAGCAGTCAGGTCAGTTCCAGACAGACAGACAGGCAAGATAATTCACGTCAAGATACCAGACCAGCAGACAGACAGACAGACAGACAGACAGACAGACAGCACGCACAACGAGACAGACACGACAGGACAGGTCAGACAGACAGTCAAGTCAGGCAGACATACATATCTACATGTATACAGATCAGTCAGAGAGGACAAAAGACCAGACAGACAACAGACAGACAGACAGACAGACAGACAGACAGACCAGACAGCGGACGGATGGACAGGACGGCGGGACGGGACGTGACGGACGGACGAGCGACGGACAGGAAGACGAACAGACGGCGACGGA